ATAAAATCTACTGTTAATCGTAAAAAAAACTACTCTCAAGAGAAATAATGTCACCTTGTCAGCTTTCCTTATTTATAACAATATTTTGTCCATCACATATGGTACAGCTGTATTTGTATTGCTAATGGTATAAGCATCACTCATTATTTTTTAATTATTTATTATTAATCATTAGTATTGCATGTTACAAGAGGGAGAGAGGGGAAGAGGGAGAGAGGGGAAGAGGGAGAGAGGGGAAGAGGGAGAGAGGGGAAGAGGGAGAGAGGGGAAGAGGGAGAGAGGGGAGGGGAAGAGGGAAGAGGAGAGAGGGGAAGAGGGAGAGAGGGGAGAGGAGAGAGAAGAGGGAAGAGGGAGAGGGAGAGGAAGAGGGAGAGAGGGAGAGGAGAGAGGGGAGAGAAGAGGAAGAGAGAGAGAGAGAGAGAGAGAGAGAGAGAGAGAGAGAGAGAGAGAGAGAGAAGAGAGAGAGAGAGAGAGAGAGAGAGAGGGGGGGGGGGAGGGGAGGGGAAGAGAGAGAGAGGAGTGGGAAAGAGAGAGAAGGAGATAGAACAGCAAGAGAGAATGTTCAGATAGATAGGATGAAGAGGATAGAGAGGGACAGGGAGGAGTGACAGAGAAAAGGGGGGAGGGAGAGAGAGGAGGATGGAGAAGGGTTATAAAAAAATAGACAATTTTCACATTTTATTTCAATATGAGATAACATCATAAATTATGTGGAATCCATTGATTAACAATCATAAAAACTCTAGGGGATCAGCACAGGCCTGCTGAATTCAATAGTTTCCATTTTAACAATCCTCAAATGTAAATATATTTTTCTGTACCTGCAGTACATTCTAACTCTGGTGTAAAAAAAAAAAAAATTATATTCCCTATCTTGTCTTGGTAATAAGTGCTATTTTGCATACATCTTTTTCCTTAGTATTAAGCAACTTTTTACAGATTAAAGAGAAAACAGGGAAATAATCTTAGCCATCCACTTGCCTTAAATTATTCACTCTCACTTACACGTATTAATTGGCATTAATTTTCTCAATGACTGTGTTTCTTATTCAACACTTTTGGAACTTTTCTTTTTCTGGAGAATTAAAACGAATTATCAAATCCAAAAGATATACAATTGTAACTATGTTACTATACATATTATCTGACAAGAAACAAATCACTGTCACTTCATCCTTTTCCATCAACTGTTTCAAAACATAAACTTTAGCTTTCCTTTTTTCTTGGAGCTACTCATTAAAGAAACAGACACAGACAGACATATGTACACCAAACACTGGAAATATACAATGTTACACATATCTTTTCCCAATCCTCACATTTCATACCCCTTATGCTTCAACACCGATGAACCTTTGAAACCTTTGAAACCTTCTTTAACTTCTTCTACATTGATAGCCTTTTTTTCTTTTGGTTTCCATTTCTCTTCACTGTTTCCTGCATTAGGGAAAGGTTTACGATTATTTGGCCCATTGCTGAAGGGTCTCTGCGATGGATTTCTGGGAAACATTTGATTATTTGGCGCACTGTTTCTGATATTCTGTGTTGGATTTCTGAAAAGCATTTGATTATTTGGCCCTAGCATCTGGTTATTTGGCCTAGCATCAGGTTATTTGGCCCTAGCATCTGATTATTTGGTCCTAAGTTCCTGATATTCTGCATTAGATTTCTGAAAAACATTTGATTATTTGACCCTATGTTCCACATATTCTGCATCAGATTGCTGAAAAACATTTGGTTATTTGCCCCAATGTTCATCATATTTGGCATCAGATTCCTGAGAGAGGCACACACACACATAGGGTTATTTGGCCCAGTGTTCATGGTATTCTGCATTGGATTTGGGCAACCCATTTGATTACTTGGCCATTGTTCCCAGTATTATCTGCATCAGATTTTGGCAACTCATTTGATTACTTGGCCCATTATTCCCAATATTCTGCATTGGATTTTGGCAACTCATTTGATTGCTTGGCCCACTGTTCCCAGTATTCTGCATCTGATTTTGGCAACTCATTTGATTACTTGGCCCATTATTCCCAATATTCTGCATTGGATTTTGGCAACTCATTTGATTGCTTGGCCCACTGTTCCCAGTATTCTGCATCTGATTTTGGGAACTCATTTGATTACTTGGCCCACTGTTGCTAGCATTCTGATTACTTGGCCCACTGTTCCTGGCATTCTGTTTCCTTCGCCTACTGCTCCTGGCATTATGATCTATTGGCCCACTGTTCCTGACATTCTGCTTCCATTTTTGGATGGGTTTTTGTTTCTTTGGCTTCTTATACCTGGGTTCAAACTCTTTCATCTGACCAGTTTCAATTTGCTTTTGCGACTCCTTGTTACCTGAAACCTTGCTCTCCCTTTCACTTGATGCTTCTTCCTTTTGGATCTGAGTCTGCTTGAATTTCCGTTCTGTGGAATTCATCTTCTCTATTATTTTCTGCACATTTGCTTTTTTTTTTCAATCTCTTTAGCAAATGATGTTGGGTCTTTTGTAATAACATCAGAGACAGCAAGATCCACGAAGTCTAGCTCTAGTCATCTTTTCTTTCCGTCTGATTTACCTTCAGAAATTATTTGTTTCCTCACTCTCTGCTCCCTCTTTATTGCCTTCTGTTGCTGTGCTTAAATCACCCTCTTCTGAGGGAGAATTCTCATCTTTGTCTTCACTTCCTTTTTGTTTCTTCTTCTTTCCCTTCTTCCTTTTGGGTGTAGATTCTTCCATTTGCGAAGTTTCTTCTGCAATTTTTGCCTCTCCCTCATCCGTGCAGTCTGGAGGCATGGCTTTGGGAATTTCATCTGAAGGTTCATTACAATTCTCTTCTTGAATTTCTTCTTGGCATAAGCTTTTCTTCTTCTTTTTTCTTTTTCTTTTCACTGGTTTGTGGTTCAGTAACACCACTTTCCTCATTATTCCATCAGTTTCATCTAACTTCCTCTTCTTTTTCTTCTTTGGTTTTTCCATTTCATTTCCTGCATCCACTCCATTTACTTCCTCTCCATTCCTCTTACCTCATCTGTCCTCTGAACATCCACATTTTCAGATTCTCCTTCACAACTATTTTCTATAGGTAACTCTTCTGTATTCTTATCTTTACTTTTCTTCTTCTTCTTCTTTTTCTTCTTTTCACTATTCACACCATCTTCACTTTGCATGTTATCAGGTTCTGCTTTGCTGCTGTTTTCAGTTGGCAATTCCTCTGCTTTCACTACATCCAATTCTACCTTCTTTTTCTTGTTTTTCGTCTTTTTCTCCTTTTCGTTATCCATGTCAACATGAAGTTTCTCAGCCTCTGCCTCCTGACAGTTCTCAATGGTTAAATTCTCAGCATCCACATCTTCAGCATCATTTTCCCTTTCCTTATTTTTCTTCTTCTTTTTCTTCTTCTTGACAATCTCATCAACTTTACCTTGTGTTTCAGCGTCTAAGTCTTCATCTATTTCTCTCTTCCTCTTCTCAGTTTTTGAGACTGAAGCCTCAGTGTCAGACACACTTTCTTCTTCTCCTACTTCCTTCTGCTTGACCTTGTCCTTCTTCTTCTTCTTTTTCTTTTTCTTTTCTGCCTGATCCCCAGTGTAATCGTCTCCGTTCTCTGGATACTCAAATGCAAACCCTACTCTCTCCTCTCTCTCATTCTCAGACACCTTGCCATTAACTGGCATTTGTTCTTCATAACAATAGCCAAAACCTTGTCTGCCATTCTCATCCCCAATCTCACTTTCTCTTCTCTTGTCAATGTCATCCTCATCTTCTCTTTCTTGTTGAAGTGCCTGTGCCATCTTGAGCTTTGCCAATTTCTCAGCAAAGTATTCCTGAAATGGACAGAGAATCAGCAAAGAAATAAGTGTTTTCTAAAAGCCATAGTTTCTTACTCTTGCAAAATAAAACATAAATCACAAAATGTAAAAAAGGAAGAAAATGCAGAAATGGAAAGTGAGCATTTTGGCAAAAAAATTTAAGAGCAAGTAGGCTCAAAGTGTCCACTATTTTGTAATCAAATCTGTGCTACCATTATAAATTTACTGCATTCTATAAGAAGCTCTTGTACAAAGTAAACCTGAATTCAAGACGTTATTAACTTGAAGTTTATAAGAAAATACAATATTGAATTTAAGAAATATCTTATGTTAAGAATTATGTCTAGTAAGACCCATGAAAGTTTCATTATGTCAAACAAATTACGAAGACAAGCAACATGTATCAAAAGTAAATATCTCATATAAATAAAGATGTCAAAAACACAAATCTGAAAAAAAGAAAGGGGAAAAAAAAAAAAAAAAAAAAAAAAAAAATCAGAGGATTATTGCAGATGATAAGCATATTAAAGATACAGAAACTAGTGAACATGGTTAATTTTTGCACTTGGCGATTTGCCACCAGTATAAATCAGGCAGTATAAGTACTGCATGCCATCAAAAATGAGCACTCAAGTGTAGTAAACTTGTATTTTGGCCAACTCAGAGGTTTAGGTCTCAGAATGCAACAAGACATGGATACTTAGAAATACGCAAGGGCAACACAATTAAATATAACTTCAATAAAAATGTGTTTTTAAAGAGAACAGGCCATCAATCTTCTAAATAACCATGTAAATAAACATACCATAAAGATAGTGTGGAAGTAAATGTCTTTCATAAATAAATGTGTGCAGACAATGATTTTGCAAAACTAAATGTGTTAATATATGTCTAAAGAATCCAATGTCTGTGGAAAGGTTTTGCAGAACTGAATGTGTAGAGGTTGTAGTTTTGCAAAATTACATGTATATAATAAAAGAGCAAAATTAAAGCTGTCTGGCAGAAAAGATTCACCAGCATGTAAATATTCTGTAAAACTAATTACATATTCAAGGCAAAGAAATGAGAACTAATATATTGAGTTTATTGGGAAATGTACAAAAGTCTCTGAGTATATATATATCAGTGTTATAGCTTACTGCTGCTCAACAAAACACTTACATACTGTATGAGGAAATGAAGAGATGGAAAATAAAAATTCCAATATAACGAAAATAAGGAGGGAGAGAGGGGAAAAAAAGAAAAGAAAAGAAAGAAAGAAAGAAAGAAAAAAAGAAAGAAAAAGAAAAAGAAAAAAAAAAAAAAAAAAAAAAAGCATCTGTTCTAACTCACCTGAACCGTACCACCTTTAACAGTGGTAACGCCATTCAGCTTCACTTGCTGACCAACCTCATCCTCTTCCTTGATCTGAGTTGCCTCAATATCAGCAAGTTGCTTGGATCTTTTTGACCCAATGATGCATGCAATGTCATCCGAATTATAACGGCTCACATCTTTGCCACGAGTGAATTTGTGTAGCTGAAAAAAGTGAGATAATTAAGCTGACACTGTAATGGATGGCTGTAACACATTTCATGAATTGCTCATCATAAAACAAATAAATAAAATACACTCACTCACTCACTCACTCTCACTTTCACACACGCGCACACACAAATGTACACACGCACGCACACGTACACGCCCATGCGCACACACACACACACACACACACACCGAAAATAAAAAGGAATCAAGCAGATATCTTAACAAGCTCCTTGAATACAAATACAAACTCTATTAAAATAAAAAAGATACTTACTGAACTCTGGCTCGGGAGCCCTTCGACCGCTTCTCTAAGGATGATGCATTCTTTTTCTCATCATCACTGTTAGCAGCACTGTTAGAACAAGAGTTCTCCTTGGAATTATCACTGTTGAGGTTAGCCAAGACGCTTTCAAATCCTTCGTAGTGTTTGATCCACTCGTCGTCGGACCCCTTGTATCCAATACCTAGATGGAGAAGAAACAGAGAAATTTTATTTTAAGATTCTTAAACGAAATTATATATGAAAGGACAAAGCTATTCTCTTTTGTTGTGAATATATCAAGCTTTAGGATTTCGCCTATCTTTAGTCTTCTTTATTAAAATACCCTTCTCTTTAATAAGATCTTACAGCATTAGTTTACATTTACTCTTTTCTTTTATACTCAGCAATGCCAATTGGAGCCTCTACAAAACACATGCAATAAAAGAAAATTCTTTGCATACAAGTTATTCAAGCTCAAAGAATAAAAGAAAAAAATCTTTGCATATTTGAATCAAGTAACAGTATAACTTAGCATGGTACACATAAAATACCACCAGGAAATATCTATTAACATTATTAAGCATTGAAATATCCTGTATGTGTGCATTTTCCAAGTTGTGTGTCAAAGGCCTAGTGTTAGAGGGTTGCAAAAAGCTGAAATTCATAAAATGATTAATTACTTAATGGTGTAATTTGTTATGGATAGTCTACATATGATAGTAGGTTGATACAAGAGTGAATTTTATGTTTTTTTCCTTCTATGACAGCTGTCACAAACTGAAAATTAAGTTATCCAATCCATAAATATTAAATAAATGATGATATTCTATCACTAGGCTTCTTTCTTTCTAATTTGCAACAATGTCACAGAAGGAAAATACCTTAGAATTCACATGATAACTGAAATGAAGAATAGCTTGTGCTGCCATATTTAGAGTTTATAAAACAAGTCCATACCTTTCTTGTTGTCCTTTGTTAGAACCTTGATACAGTCAGTCATTCCCTGTTCTTCTCTTCCAAGGCCTTTCCCTTTAGACCATCCAAATTTTTCCATTAACTTCTGGCCAAATTTGTTTTCATCTGTAATGATTTGAAAAGTTTTTATTAATATAAAAGGAATGACTTTCTTCTAATAAGAAACAGTGTGTATACATAAATTTCAAGGCTATGACTTGAATTTCATGAATGAGATTCAGAAATTCTTATGGTCTGATATTAGTACAAATCAGGTTAAAATAAAATAAAATCAAGCTTGGAGGACACATACAGTTTCATATTGTGTATTTTCAAGGCTACCCCACCATAATGAAGGCAATGAAAATAATAAGGCCATTGTATTACTAAACAAGCAATACATTGCTTGTTTTCAGGGCTTCACACGAGTCACCTCTAATGCTTAAATCATCTATATCATGATGGCATACCCAAAATAGATCCAATTTTACCTATTTCATGTTAACACACAGTTTCAGTTTCACACAGCCAAATGGTACAAAGTAAACTTTGGACAGAAAGACAAAACTTCTGCTCAATCACTCACTCAATCACTCATTCACTCACTTATAATAAGAAAGTTGTGCAACATGTAGGTAACAGCCAAGTCTATATTTACATAATGGCAGCACTAAAATAGAGAGAATAAGTAATGACACAGTCAGAAAGTGAAGGACAAAATTACACTCACTGATTCATGAAATAATCAATGCAGGCAAAGAATAACTACAGCAATGAAGAAAATATTTTGCAAAAAATGCCATGCAGTCCAAGTCCAAGTAAATCAAGTGAGGGTCCAACTAGGCACTTGGACATATTTTTCAAGTCTTCTAGAACACCTCAATTTAGGTTTTAATGGACAAAACTCTTGAAATGCCAAAAAAAAATTGTCAACTCTTATCAAAATCACATCAGGGGTTGCAGAGCAATCATAATTGAAAGTTTTAAGGAATGAGCCTTTTATTTATATGCGCTTTATGCGCTCATTAGCGCCCTGCACATTTTTATTGAGATTGAAAGATTGAGACATTTATTAAAGCATTAGAAGTCCATACAATCATTGTCACAAAAATAAAGGTTTTATCATTGCAATTATATGGTGTGCCACAATATATATAAGTGGGGTATTCTGGGTTAATCTAGAGGATATGAAATTTTTTAAAAACAAACATGAAATGGAAGAACATGCAAAGTAATCGAGAAGGTCAAATTTGAAGTGCGGAAATAGATAATAACTACAATAACAAAATAAAGGTGCCGAAATTTGTCACACAAGACTAAGTTACCCTCTTTGCTTATCGGCGAAGTCAATGTAAACAACCCATGCAACTTATAAGATGGCGCTCAGGAAAGTAATACAAGTGCTACTCTCTATCGGTTGAAATACATTTTGGAGTAATTTCATGCATTCTTACCATACTTCGTCCATAACTAATATGAAGTACTGGTATATTTCAGTAATCAAATAAATTTATGTATTATCTAATGACATTTTAAGAGATATAATTTGCTGTGACATCACTGTATGGCGCATTTATACGCTTCACCAGTAGGCCTGTCGCCGTCGTGGCTAGGGAAGAACAGCGATATGAAGGGGGTCCATAGCCCCCAGATTTGGAAGGTTTTTGTTTTTTACAGCTGCATGCTAGGGAAACATAGTGATTGGAGTTACCACCCCACTAAAACCCCAATTCTGCCATGTGTCACCCAAGATCGTAGGGGATAGGGGGAAAAATATATGAAAAAAGCAGGCATCCCATCTCCTCTACAATTACTGTATTTTGTAGGGTAAATCTAATTCAAATTGAAATTCTAAATTTAAGCAAAACAGAAAAATGACGGTAATTTTCTATATTATGTCCGCATAACCGATATCGACAATTTGGGTATCGTTGGATTCCTCTCACTCTATACAATGCAAATATGTAGGTTTTATTGCGCAGAAACCCCCTGTTAGCGACAAACTTGGCCCCGATAGCTGGGGCGAAGATGTTGGAGCGGCAAACGTAATACATAAAATTACCCAAATAATATAACCCCACAGTGAAAAAAATCATGGTTATTCACATGACTTCCCATTGCAGGGGGTTGCGCCCCCTGCGACCCCCCCTAGGGGGGTGGGGTGGGGCTGCCACCCCCCAACCCCCGCCGAGGAAACAAAATCTCCACCACATATTCACGGCAGGATGGAGCGCACATGAACTAGATGCAGAGCTGATAACCTACAATAATCTAGGATTTTTAAGGTACTAACCTGATTGATAGATGCTGCTAATAGTAGGGAGGGTGCAGAAAGTGAAGGAGGCAGGTTGTAATGTGGACAGTAAGAGGAATCTAACAATACCAAAGTCATCGTTATTGGAGCGACGGAGGTAATATACGAAATTACCCACATCTCTGCCGCTTCTTCCTGGCTGGTTGCTATTTGGCACAGGAAATCCGTCTCCGAGTACGAGCAACCTCCACATTCGGCCATCGCGGCGGCTATGGCGAAGAACTAAACGCATACGGTTATTTCGGTTAGGAATACGGATGTTTCTCCAGAGTACGGGAAACTCGACCTTGAGGCCATCGGTGTAACATCGAAAGAGGCGCAAAACCCACTGACGAGAGCGGGCCACCCTGTTCATCCTGATTATACTACAATCGTCTTTATATACAATGCTGACTATGCCAAGGTTAATATACTGATTCGGTGGGCATGTTACGAGGTAATTGTAATATTACGCCCGCCACTCCGACATCGACGATGATTAGGTAACGCTCTAGCCTGCCGTGAATACATGGTGGAGGTTTTATTTCCTCAGTGGGGGTTGGTGGGCGGCAGCCCCCCCCTCCCCAGGGGGGGGGTCGCAGGGGACGCACCCCCTGCAATGGAAAGTCATGTGAATATCCATGGTTATTTTCAATGTGCATTACATTAATAGTGTTATTTAACCCCCCATTGGTAAAATTTCAGATTCTGCCAGCCTCCTCCTTTCGAAACGATTGTTTTTGGAATGGATAATTCCTTCGCTGTTTAGCGCTGTAATGCTATTGTTCTCCGTCGCATCTGACTGCTTAAGCAGTGACGTAACTTGTACTTCTCGACGTCAGAGTTGCTTAAGCGAAGGATTTGCAATATGTTTGGGAAAAAATTTCCATGATTTACACAGCAAAACATATCAAAACAACTAACAAAAGCTTTAAATCGTGTTTGTTTAAACTCTACGGAAAAAAGACGCATGTTTCACCAATATAATTACGGTCTACTAATGTGCGGTTAAATCTGGGCTTACTTTTTGTCTGGTTGCCTCACAATACAAAAGCAATAAATTTTGATTACACAAAAATAGCCGATATCCCGAGCGTGTATGTCTGCCGCGAAGGAACGCCCATGAGCCTGAAGAGCGAGGTACATTTTCGTCATTAATA